GGGTGAGATGAGATCTCGCTGGATCTGGCGCGGCGGAGAGTTGACCCTCGATCCCAACAGATTCGTCGCGTTTTTTTTTCTTTTCTTGCTTGGTCTGGATCGCGTCCGCGGGGGGAATGCCACCTAGGAGAGTTTGTTTAAATTATTAGGTGAAATTTGAAGCATAATCATTTGCTCTATGGACCTATCTCGCTGGATGCCGCGGGGTAGATGCACTTCATTTTGATTAGTGTTTCGAGGGGCTGTTTATTGTGGATTTCAGGTTTCTACTACGGAGTACTATCTAATGGCAGTAAAAGAATAGGCAATTTTGTCTGCACAAGGAGGATAGGTCTATTTTGGTGAATTATGCATGCTAATATCACTTGCACCATCTCTAGTTTCACAATCACTTTGTTGAGTCTCATGTTTTTACTCCCAAAAAGGAATGAAAGAAAAAAACATTCATATCCTACTTGTTGATACTGTTTGGCTAAATTATGGGTCAGTTGATCGGATTTGCATATTTCTAGAATGCACCAGTCTGCTCAACATCCTTTACATGCACGACCCAATGCTTGTTTGTTCGTGGGCTGATATAACTGTTCGTTCGGTTACTGCTCTAACTGTGGTTGCACTTCACTCATTCAATGTTACAATATCATTGTATCTGAATGCTGCAAGGGGAACTATTTTACATTCTTTCACACGCTAGTCCATAGGGATCAAAGGGATCTATTAGCCTAGCAAAACTGACATTTTGGCTGAGTATTAAACACTAAAATATCTCTTCATCTGTCGCTGCCTAGGTGTCTAAGCCTGACAATATTATTCCATCTAATTGTTGTGTGTTATTATCTTGAGAATACATTGCTCTTTGAATTTATTTTCAATCTTCCAAGCCTGGAGATAGTTATTGTATCTTTTATCATCTTTGAAAGTGGTCGGACCCTTCCCCGGACCCTGCGTAAGTGGGAGCTATGTTCACCGGGCTGCCCTTTTTTATCATCTCGAAAATGCCATCACTGCTTGTTTTCTTCTCTGCGCACTGTGTTTGATGGAGACTAACATTCTAATATTTGGCCATGCAGTGATTACCTCTTCAAGCTTTTGCTTATTGGAGACTCAGGTGTTGGCAAGTCATGTCTGCTGTTAAGATTTGCTGTAAGAATCTCTATAGCAAGTATGATCCATTTTGCTATCTTTTTCCCATCTATATATTATAGATTTTCCATGTTAAAATTAGGTAGTTCATGGAATTAACCATTTTGTTTATAGGATGTGTAAGCTGAATCATTACTCACAAATGTTCTAATTTAAATTGCTCAACCTGAATAGTTCATTATTGGTAGCTACATTTTTCCAAAAGATGATGGGCATCCCTAGGTACATCCATTTCAGCGACAAGTAATTCCGTCTCAAATGAATGTATTTAGCTAGATACATCCATTTAACGGAGGGACTAGTATATTGTAGTATGCCCTTGAGGACAACTAATTATACTTACTATTAAATTTACCTGTGCTGCTTTGTTTGTTTGCCTCTTTAATATTTTGACTCTTGGCAGGACGACTCATACCTGGATAGTTACATCAGTACTATTGGAGTTGATTTTGTAAGCACATTTACTTTCTGCATAGTGTTTTTTGGCTGCTACAGATCCTTCTATCGAGCATAACTTATTTGAAAAATGTTGACAGAAAATAAGGACCGTGGAGCAGGATGGAAAGACTATCAAGCTGCAAATCGTGAGTCTAGCTTATCTCGTGATTTACGTGATATGCATCTGTTGCTAGTAACCAAGCATGCCTGTGCAAGTACCATTTAGTTGTGATTTTGTTGATGATCTGTAAAACTTCATTGATACATAATTCTCCCAGTAACCACTATTATTTTGTGGGATGCAAGTCATGATTGCTAGTTGAAGTCGATTGATATGGAACAGACACACTCAACCGCTTCTCCTGAATATATATGAACTCTGTTGTCACTTTGTGGTTCTCTTTAGTCTGTCCAGTTAATATAATTGGACCATTAAAAGTTTTCATTATTTGTCTTTCCTATGAAGATTCATTCTTTCTGGATATTTAGAAATGAAAAATAGATGTAGCTCAGTTTGAACATGAGGGATGGCAGTCTTGCAGCTTATGTGTACGTGCTCTTTAGATTTGGCAATTCCTCTGTTTTTCATCTCCCACTTCAGTTGCAGTGATACAGGCTAGTATTATCCTTTTCAAAGTTATTAAACCCCTTCATTCTACAAAACTTCTTTTTCAGTGGGACACTGCTAGGCAAGAACGTTTTAGAACTATTACCAGCAGCTACTACCGAGGGGCCCATGGGATTATTGTAAGTCCGCTTATACAAACTTCATTTAGTCAGATAACAAATTTACATTTATGATGGCTTGACCGGAATATTCAAATGGTCTTGCAGATCGTCTATGATGTGACAGACCAAGATAGCTTCAACAATGTGAAGCAGTGGTTGAACGAGATTGACCGCTATGCCAGTGAGAATGTGAACAAGCTTCTGGTGGGGAACAAATGTGATCTGGCTGACAAAAGAGCTGTGTCATATGAAACAGCAAAGGTATCCTTGAGTCTCGTGCAAACATATTTTTTTTGTTGTTCACTTCACAATCTGCAGATTCCAACCTTCCATTCCTTGAAGGCATTCTCACTGCTATTTGTCTTTATTTTTATGTACATATATAGGCATTCGCTGATGAGATTGGCATTCCATTCATGGAGACCAGTGCAAAGAACGCCCTGAATGTTGAACAGGCTTTCATGGCCATGGCTGCTTCGATCAAGGATAGGTTTGGACCCACACTGAAACTAGCATTCATGATGGTTTATATTAACATGCTAGTCTATGAACTTTAGATGAAGAACTTACTGAAAACAATGGCCTATGTTTCCAGGATGGCGAGCCAGCCAGCGGCAAACAACGCTCGCCCGGCTACTGTACAGATCCGCGGGCAACCTGTCGAGCAGAAGACCAGCTGTTGCTCATCTTAGAAAACCATGCAAACTTGTTGATGCTCCATCACCTTTATACATGTTTTCTTATTTTTTTTTACTTGTTATCTTTATTCTTTTCTTTCTAGTGTACCTGCCTTCTGAAATTGTGTAAGTTGGATGAATATATCTTCTTACATTCGCAGTTGTTTTTATGGTTAACTTGGAGTGACACTGCTGGTCATAGTACTCGATCTGTATCTATACGGTTCTATTACTAATGATATTATACGATAGCCAGTTTCTTTTTTCTTCTCTCATCGAGATACAAACAAAGAAAGGGAGTATGATGATATTTTTTTTTGGGTAATTGGAGTATGATTATCTGATCCTGTAATATGGTGACTCCTGAATTATCATTTTGTCAAAAAGTTCACTATGATTATGCTTTCAGGCTGTCGCACATTTCAATGAAGTGAGCACCCTGAATTTGTAAAATTGATCAATTAAAATTTGTAACATTGAGGAGGAGGTCGTCAGCATGAAGTCGTGGGTCTTCACTTTTTCCTTCTTGAGGGATACATTTTCATGACAACTTTATATTAATATGGCAGTTTTTATTACTTGGCAAATATGGATACATCATTTTTAGATTATACTCTCTCTCTGTCTTTATATAAGGCATATTTGTTTTTTTGATAAAATTGCACAATGTAAGGTGACCGGCGGGGCCCTCGAAAAGAGTTATCTTTTCTGTTTAACGGTCTACCAACCCTGGAAACGGTTCAGCCGGAGGTAGGGTCCAGTGGCCGGAAGACTAGTCACAATGGGAAGTAACTTAGACTAGTAACATCACATTTTACTAGGCTATGTTACTACCTCCTCGGTGGGTAGTAACATATGTGTATTGTCATGTTATGGTTCATTTATTAGTCTATAGACTCATATTGTCTTGGCACGTGTGATGTTACAGTAACTAGTTAAGTTACCATCATCACCTCTCTCATCATTAAATATGTGCCACATAAGCAAAGTTATCTTAAAAAATGTGATGTTACTCCCACTGTGGCCAGTCGAAGAGCACTGCACGTCGCGCGGTGTCCGGTGCGCCCCCGGCGGCCCATGAAAATTCGGAGGACCGAGTACCGTTCATGATTTATTATCCTACGAAATAGACAAGTTAGACAAGGGGAATTTGTCTTAAATAGTCTATAATTATGTGCCTTGAAAATAGTACACCTTAGATAAAAGAATGGAGGGAGTATCGTACTGGAGCCTTCTGCTTCACTTCCTCCGTTCCCTAATATAAGGTTTATTTCTTTTTTCAAATAATCAAGTGAGTGCATGTTTGACTGAGTTTTAAAAAAAATTCAATATCCACAATACGAAATTTATATTATTTGTTTCATCATGAAAAGTAGACTCATATTTTATCTATTAGGTATTGCACATGTTATTATTTTATTCTATAATCTTGGTCAAACATTAAAATGATTGACTTACACGGAAAACAATACATCTTATATTCTTGAATGGAGGGTACTAGCTAATCGGGACAGTGGTTAAACAAAATATAAGGAGAATTGTGGAATAAAACGTGCATTCTCATAGACCGCTGTCACGGGTTGGATAGAATTGTCACCATTCAGCATACAATTTGCCTCCACATTTATTTTTGCAGATGCCTCCACATTAACTTGCTACATGCACATGAGCCCATCTCTGAGATCCCGGACTTCCGAAGTACCAACATCTTAAATGAAGGGAATCCCACTGCCAGGAAATAACCCTTGTCGTCTCAAATGATAGCACCAGTTCCTCCTGACTCCCGAGCCACTGTCACTAACAAATGTAGTGTCAACATTTAGTTTAAAGAGGCCTTCTTTTGGCTTCTGCTAGCCATGTCTTGGATTTGCACCTTGGTTCCCTCGGCTAATCCTCCTTCCGAGCCATGAGATTCATATTAATGATAGTTTATCATGCTAAGAAGGAAATAATAATAGAACCGAGCCCCCGTGTCGCTCCCATGTGATCGGCTCGGGCGGACGAGAAAGACCTAACAAAGCCTCCACCACGGATCCTTCTAGTGATGCAGATCTTGCCCGAGTTGTAGAAGATCTGTGTGGTGCACGCTTCGCCTCTGTCGATGGTACATCTGGATTCATTTATGACCCCTGAGTATGGTTATGTCTCCACCCACACTACCACCGCTAGAGACCAACCAATCGCTCGTCTTTGTGGAGCATGAATGGTTGGGCACCTGCTGTCTTCCACTCGCCTAAGCCCATCAGGCAGGTGGTTCCTGCTAGTGACGAGGTTGTGGCATCTAATACATTGACGTCTGTTTTTTAGGCTCTCTTCGCTAAACAATTTCAACTAATAACCGAAATGGATGGACCTGACAATGACGGGTTGTTGCCTCATGAAGGGAAGGCAACCAGGGGCAAGAGCAAGAGGGTTCCCTCTAGCCATCGTGCGTTCATCTTGATGAAGAAGCCTTTTGGGAGCAAAAGTAAGAACAGTGAAACCATAGATAAGGCATCAACGACTGCTTGATGGACGATGTTCGATGTCTTTTTGGTAGGGGTTTCTTTGTGATGTTGCGATTCATTGGTTGATTTGTGGTTATAATGGGTTGGGAGCACATATTTGTCTTTTTGAATGGTCACGGAGATTCATGCTTTGAAAGTAGACAACACATGGTCATACTGTAACGGTTTTCGCCTGATTTTTGTTAATTAATTAGACAATTCTATTCGAGTGCAGTGTTTTGGTGGCTAGTCTCGTCTACACCCATGTAGAACAAGAATCACAACAAATTCAAAAAAAAATCTATTTTTTTGCACGGTAGAAAAATTATTGCGTGAGGTCCCCTCCAATTTTCATATCATTTAGACATTTGAGTAACTCTCAGCAAAAAAGGCAAGGACAGCGCATGAACAATTAAGTTTTTTACAGACCTCGAATTTGTCTTTTTTGCCTAGAGCCGCTCAGATGTCCAAATGATTCAAAAATTAGAGCGGACATCACGCATCAAATTATCTATCGCAAAAAATTAGAATTTTTTGAATTTTTCTAGTATTTGTGTCGACCTTTTCTTCAGCGTGGGTGCAAATGAGCCTAGGCTCAGAAGTGGATTATCGATTCTACTCTACTTAATTAATTGATGAGACAATTCTTATACTTTCTTTGTGGGAAAAACTTTCGATTTATTCATCTTCAACCATGGTAGTGCAACAAACATTAGAATAATAAAAAATACATCAAGATTCATAGACGACCTAGTGACGACTACGAGCACTGAAATGAGTCGAAGGCGCGCCGCTGTCATCGCCCCTCCCCCACCGGAGCGGGCAAACCTTGTTGTAGTAGACAGTCGGAAAGTCGTTGTGCTAAGACTCCATATAGAACCAATGCACCAGAACAGCAACCGCCGTCGATGAAGAGTGTATATCTGAAGGATCCAATCTGAAGACACACGAAAACAGATGAATGAAGAAAAGATTCGAGAAAATCCACCAAAAATAGATTTGTCGGAGACACACTTCCACACGCGCACCGGCGGATGCTAGACGCATCACCGAAAATGGGGGGCTAGGCCGAGAGACCAACAACCCCTCTCGAAGGAGCCGTGCCGTCTCGCTTTTCTAAGCAGGACACAAACACTAACGAGACTCGAAAAAAAATAATCTAAAAACGGAGCCCTCCCACAGGGCGCTGGGATCCACTCCACCTCCACGACCCTAAGGCCACCGGAGAAGGAGACAGGGCGGGCTGGCGGGAGGCAGACTTGAACAATATTTGGAAGTTTAGATCAGGGATATACTCTCTCCGTCTCAAAATAAATGACTCAACTTTGTAGTTTTATACAAAGTTAGTCACTTATTTTGAGAGACGTACTAGCATTTTCGCTAAAAACGTGAGAGCAGTTACAGTCTAGTACGTATGGATTTTGTAAATATTTGCGAAAGAAAGGGTGCGGCGGTGTGCGAGAGCGAGAGGGCAGCGAACACACAACCGACTAGCGGGGCCCACCTGGCGGCCCGTAGATGGCCTGAGAATTCCCCACCTTTGAGATCGGCTTCTTAGAAAACAACCGTGAGATCGGGTTCGGGCAGGCCGCCGAGTCGTCGTCGTCGTCGTCGTGCCCGATCCCCACCCCACCACCCGTCCCGCGCCGGCGGCCCGCCCCCCGGAGATCGGAGCGCCCCACGGGATCCCGACCTCGCCATGAATCCGGAGTAGTAAGTCGCTTGCTCTCGCCTCTCCTCTCCCTCTGGTTGAATCAATTGGGGGGCCGGGGATCTCGCCGGATCTGGCGCCTGATGCCGTCGATTCGCGGGATTCAGTTTGGACGCGACTCCTAGTCCCCTCCTACATTCGGCGGATTTCGACCGTGGCCATGCATGATCTTTGTCATGCTAGGGAAAAGCGTAGGAATAGTACTGTTCGTGTAGGAAGATCTTCCTTGGGTGCGAAGCGATCGCGTGACCGACGCGCCGCCGGGCTCGCCCTCCTCCGGCTCAAACCGCCGGCCGGCGAGAGGTCATTAGGGTAGCGAGAGGACGCAACAGATGGCCTCTGTGCAGGGCAAGAAGATGGAGTTGGGATGAGGATGGTTGTGTGGTGGAGTGAATGTTGCCTGCTAGATGCACACACACACACACACACACACACACACACACACACACGGTTGTTTGTACCAGATGATTTTTCCCACATAATCAGAGATGGCTTCGGTGACGATGACAAGCAGGAAGGACCCAGCTGTGATGAACCTTTATTCGTCAGTGGTTTAGCCATGTTATTAGTTTTCCTGTCACTGCCCAATTCGTGTGTTTCTTCATTCCTCTGTTTTGCACAAGAGTTTCTTCTCCATTCCTGTGATTTTCGTTTTTACTGTGGATTGCTGTTATGGAATGTCA